ACAAACCCAAACCAGCTTTCTGGGGTCAGTGAAATATTCTGAGCAAAGAGATCTTTATATTTTCAGGTAAAGTTAGAAGCAATTGTTGCAGGTGCTGGAGGATAAGCAACCTAAATGATAGGCTAAAAAAGTTAGGTTTCTTTGGATAGAATTATTTCAGTGCTTATGAGCTAATCACCTTAGGCTTTATTGGGCAGTAAATCCTATCCTCCTATACATACTGAAGTCGCAGAAAAAGCTTTTACACAAAGACCCTCCTATCGTGTTGTAATCCATGTTACAACAGTTCATGTTTCAGCCAATTCAGCCTCTGTCTCTGTGAATAATCCATGTGTGCCATCATAAGGATTAGATTTTTTCTCACGTTGGGGACAGTTTGTTTAAGCTGAGACAATCATTTTACATCATAAAGGCCACTGGAAGGACACAGCTGTCAGTTCAGGGTTGTGCTTCTTGGGTGGGTTATGTGAAACCTGATTGATCTTACCAGAAGGAGCCGAGGAAGACCACAGCTCCTGAAGGTCTCTGCAGCTTCTTTTAATGCTCAGTTCACCTCTGGAATAGTTAAATATAATGCTGTTCACCTGACTTAGTTATTGAGATGGTAGATTCACTACAAATGAAGGGTGACAATACAGCTAACTACCCATAGGAATAAATGACCTCTCTCCCTTTCTTTGTCAGAATTATTCTAGATGGTATCATAGAGTCCTTTATTTTTTCAAAGCTTAAACATTCCAGGACTCCACCATTCCCTTGGGAGATTATTTCACAGCTCAATGCACCTCTGTCAGGAAGGCTTCCTTACAGCTTAGTCTGACTCTATTTTTAATAGAGTCAAACTATTTTAATGACAGGAGAAGTGTCCGCCTTTTTCCTGGTTTCAGCCAGGACAGGGTTCATTTTTTTAGAGCAGCCAGTAAGGGCCATGGCTGGGACACTGGGGTTATTCAACAACACCTCACATCATTTCCAGGGGAGGGGAAAAGGGACCACTGCTTCCAAGGAGAAGGGGCTTCTTCTGGTCAAAAAATCGTGGTGGGGGGGAATCTGGCACTGTTGATTTTCTCAGGCTCTGTGGTAAGCATTTTTACATGTGAATCACTCACTCTTTTGTGTACTTTTATTATTAATTTTGTTGTTGTTACTGTTCATTTTCTTATCTCATTGCTGTTTTCAATATATTGTTCTTATCCCAGCCTGTGAACTTTGTCTTTTTTGCCTTCAATTGGAGAGCAGGGCGGGGAAGCATCATGTGCTTTTTTTACTGGGAGTACTATATTGGAGAATATAATTCCTAAATCATGACAACCTTACATTCAAAAAAATATGCAAGTGTATTGAATTTCCTGCAATATTGTGAATTTAATTCAAAAGATAGTGTAACCATTCCATATGAACCTCACTCACACCTGCCTCCCAGGTCCTGACTGTTCTGAGTTTCTCTAAAGCAGTTCCCTCTTTGAAATTACTGCTCTGCCCGCTATATCAAATACATTTCCTTTATGTTTATAAGATCAATAAATTGTGCATATATTCCTGTAGGCATAATGCTTAGTTTCATATTTATGGGATTGTTTTAAAGTTTCCCTTTTAAAGTTTCAACCAGATCAACTAATGGCCGCATTTATCTAACAAATGGGCTGGCTGAGCTCAAAAAATATTACAAATCTTCACAGGTTTAGAAATTATTTTCTTTTGAAACTTGGAACATTTTACTGACTTTCTGAAAAACAATAATTAAACCCATCAGCATGGTAGAAAAAATATTCCTGGATATAGTTTTCAAACTTCTGTGTTTTGCCTATGTGTCCATCCTTCTGAATTTTCAGTATTATTTTTTTAATATTTCAGAATATTTTTCTGTCATATTCCCCTACAGCTGGTTCTTTGCCACCCCTTTGGGGAATAAGCAGCGCTTTTCCACCTGGGGAGACATGGGTCCCTGTTTGTGTGCACCTTCCAGAGCAGCTGGAGCCACCAACACCATGGACTCACGGTCACTTTGGCTGTTGTAGGTTTGGCTGTGCAACTTGACCTTCACCCCATTGCTGTCAGTAGAGATGGAGTGACCAAGTTGATTGTACCTGCAGGTTCCCACAGGGCAGAGGCAACACTGAGGTCCTGGCAAGCCCTTTGTGAAGAATGCCATAACTTAGGACTGAAGCTAAGGTAAGGAGAGGTTTGTGATCTCTGTTCTTTCTGCATGGGAAGAATGGGATCAGATATTGCCTCCTCTCAGTGTAGTATACACAAATTTTCAGCAGCTTGTCCTAACTTCAATATTGAAACTTGGACAAAACAAAAGGAATTTTTTGTTAGTCAAGATCCTCCTAAGAATTTAGTCTGCAATATGAACACCTCCCCAAATGATCCCTTGTTACCAGCAGTCCATGATGACAATCTGATGATCTCTCAATCCGAGATCAAGGATGGTTAGGAGACAGCAAATTTTTTTTCTCTGCACTTGGCCTTACACATCAACTGGAAAATCTCCTGCAGAGCATTTGGAAGAAGAGTTCAGTGACTGTCATTTACCAGTCTCTGAGTTAGCAGATATGGGGACTCTTCTGGTAACAAATGACCAGTGGGTAACATTCCTGATTTAAATTTCAATTTCAGACAAGTTCATTTCTAGTTCCTTCCTTGCAGCTAAGATGGTTGATTTTGTTAGGTTATGTGGTAAAGGCTGGCTTCTGCACACACACACACAGAAGCACAGAGGAATAACAGTGGTTAGAGGAACTCCAGAGGTATTTCCAGGGTATTCCCAGGCACATTACAGAAGCTCTGAGCTCCAGAGCTGCTTGCAGACCCCAGTGGCAGCAGGATCAGAGGCCACTGGGTGAACTGCACCTAAGTTCAGCTGCTGGAGAGATCCCCACTGCACAAATACATATGTACATATTTCAGTAATACATCAATCAGCCAGAGAGGGGAACAGGATGAGGCCATTGGGGCTTGCTGGGGTTTGTCTGGCAGTGTATTTATGTGTATGGGTGCTGTATATGTCTGTGTGTCTGTGACTGTTGGAAACACATGCTGCTTCTTGGCCATGGGAGCAGCGTTGCAGTTGCCTTCTCCATGCTGTTGGGCTGCTGGATTCAGCAACATAAACCAGGTTTTGTTCTGAATTTTTCTTGCGTGAAATCTATGTCTGTTAGTGCATTTGCTTTGTTGGATTCAAGCAATTTCAAAAACATTTATTAATTTGTGTGCGTGTTTGCCATCCATGTTAAATGTTCTTTTGTGGTGTTGTTCCTGGCAGTCTTACCAAAGTGAAGAGCCAAATACAAGTGAATTGAGGAACTATAGAAACGACCTTAGGGGCTCTTTATCCAAAGATATCAAAACAATGTGTACAGGTAAAGACCAGCTGCTGGCATTGGCACAATACCTGACAGCCTTGGGAGCAAGAAAGTTGGCTTTGAATTGCTAGAGTTGCACAAAAAATCTTAAAAATACAAAGATGTCCCACTGAAATAACTGAAACCACTCACACATTTCTCTGCTTTGTGCTTGTAAGAACCAGCTTTTTACCATATGGGTCTTTTGGTTACCACTGAATACATGTGATTTCTCCACTTCTCTCTCAAATTACATTTGCATAATTTCAAATATGTTTCCTTGGGAGGGGAGAATAAGTAATGTATTGTATTAAAATAGTTGATGAGTTGTTGGCTGTGCATGTTCTCTAGGCTGGCTTCTACTCCTAGATTCAAAGCCCAGTTACTCCTCTTCCCTGTAGCACCTGCAGCACTAATGACCAGCAATAGTAAGTTCTGCACTTGGAGACTCCCCACTTATAAAATCTATTTCACATCTCTAGAGAAATATTTGTTAAGACCAAGTTAATAAACTTTTCAGACTCTATAGGTAGCCCAGCACCTCAAAGAGGTTCAAAGGCCAGTGCATACCCTTTAAGAATTTGAGACTTTTAATTGTAAAGTTTTTAATATGTGAATAATATTGTCTCCTGCAAAATATTATATATAGAGGAAATGAAGCTAGCAAGCTTTTTGAAAATAAATGGTTGATTATCTTGCTCACTATTTTGTCACAATATCATGCTTTCTACTTTCCCTGACCCCCAGAGACACAGGAGAGCATTGCAAAAAAACATCAAGTCACAGTCATATAGGTTTTCCTCATGATCTGAGTCTGCTGCTAATTTGCTATGGCCTTGTTCTTGAGAAGAGTCCTGCTAAAACAACAGTGCTTGATCAAGTCCACATTGGCAGAGCTGGGATCAGTGCTGGGGGTTTGTCACCAGTGCAGTCTGATTTTCACCTGGTACAGTCTCTTAAAATTCTTTCCTAGCTGAAACACCTCAAAATCAAATTCCTACGAATTGTTGGTGGTATAAGAAAATGTTGACTGTTTTGTGTAATACTACTGTGTTTAAATGTCCATTTAGAGGATGAAGTAATTTGTATTCTATCTGTATATCTTAAATCCAGATAAAATATTTAGGACAGCAGAGTGCTTAATCTCTTTTCTTCAAAGGCAATTTGGTTTTGAAGTGAAAAACCAAACTATTTTGCTTGTTCCAAGAGGGGGAAAGAAAAACCAACAAACCAACAACACCCTACCCAGATATGGTGGGTTTTTTCCCACTCTAGGCAGGGCTGATGTTCAGTATCTTCTTTTCACAGGGTCAATAACTATCACTGATGAAATTTTGTAGCAGATCCCCCTTTCCCCTTTGGAGCCCAGTACCTACAGCAATCTCCCATGTCTCCCAGCCTGGCAGAGAGCCTTGGCAGGTGTGGGTGCCAGAAGCAGCTGACGGGACCACCAACCGCCTCACCCCGCTCCAGCTGCACATATGGGAGGAAGCAGCCACAGAGGGAAGGAAGCAGAAGTACCTCCCCATGCCACTCCTCCCCTCTGCTGTGGAGCTTCTGAGCACAGCATGCACCCGGCTGAGAGTGTTGCTGCCTTGAGAACTTTTCACTGGTCTTTACGTGCCAAAGCCACATGCTGCAGTGCTGCAGACCATGGCCTCTACCCTGCAGAAGTTCATTCATTCTCTGGACCTCAGAGCCCTTCCCAGGGTCCTTCAAATCCAGTCAGGCATCTACTGTCAAGGTGAGCATCGAATATTTTCTGGCAGGGCTTTGAAAGCCTTTATTTGACATCAGGTCCGACTTCAGACTGGAATGTAGAATGTGGGGGATAAGGAAGGATGCTCATGGAGTTGTCTCCTAGTGTTTTCCCACCAGCTGAAGAATGAGTGTTTTATCAATAGCTTTGGAAATGCCTTTGGTGCAGTGTGCATTTGGTCTTCTCACTGGCAGTGAAAAAGAAACTAGTTAGCCCTCATCATATCCCAGAAAGAGTACTGGAATAAGACACGAATTTGCTTTGCACTTACACAGAGCCATAAATCCAGCAACTGCAAATCACCTCACAGAAGTTGATTTATTTAACTCATCTTGGACTTCTGGGGCTGCCATGAAGAGGTCTCTTCTGTCTCAGAAATAAAGAACCAGGGAGTCTGGAAAGTGACCATGAAGGATCATAAGATTTTCCTGAAATTCTGTCCTGTATTTGGGGGCACTTCTAGTGCGCAACAATGCAAAGGAGCTGGTTTGAGCTGGACAGGAGCAGCACAGGGGTAATATTTTACTGGGTTTTTCTGCCGCAGATCTATTTTTATGATGTTTTTAGTGCTCTGGTTGTACACAAAACACTCTTGAAAGGTGGTAAAGAGGCTTGCATTAGAGGGAAAAATCTGCTCTTGGTTTGGGCCTGGACTTTGTTCATTGATAGTGAAGACATCATGTCAAGCCCATGTATCAGTCTAGAAAAAGAAAAGTACTTCCATGCCACTGAGATGGAAAAACATGGGTTCAACTAATAAAACAGAGAGGGTTTCATGAAATGAACTGAAGTCTGCTTCAGCTTCAGCTTCAGCGAAACACCCACTTCGGGATCCACAACATCTATCTTTATTTACATCAATCTAAATATTTCCATGCTGCTCCATAGTAGGAGGGAGGAGGTGGTCAGAGTCTGACTGGCAATCAGTAGCTGTGGCCAGAGTGGGTGGTTTTTCCCTCCATGACAGCAGCCTCTTTGAGCAGAAAGGAAATGGGAACGGGCATACTGAATTTGTAATGGTAGAGTACTGTCCACGTGCTCCTGATTGCCCATCCTGCCTGCCCTGGAAACTACCTATGAATAATACTGATATATAGAAAAATGTTCTGGGAAATAAACTTAGCTAAAATTACCAGAAACTTTTGAAAATACTCTTATTCTGAACTTTGCTGTGTGGACTGTTCAAGTTTTATCTTTTAAACTGGTCCTGCAGCTGTGACAAATAGGTTTTTGATAAGAAAATTACAGCCTAAGTGATGAAGAGTAGAATTAAAACTAAAAAGGAGAAGATCACCTCCTTAAGCTGGAGTACCCACAGTATTCATCTCTTTTCACTGAGCTAGGAAGCAGAAGTAATACAAAAACCAATTTATATGCATTTTTACATGTAGATATGTGTACATATACATATATATGTGTATACAGGTGTACTCAAAATACTATGGGATGTGTGTGTATATATATAGATATATATATACAAAATGCTATGATAAAATGATGGTAGCCCAGCTGTCTGCAGGTTTCTGAGTTCCTACAGTCTGCATCCTACTGCTCAAGGATGGTAAAACTTATACCAGTACATTTTTGTAGCCAGAGTATTTCAGTTTGTGATTCTACATGCTGTCTAAACCCTTCAATTTTCCTGAGGAGAAAAACACTGGTGAGTAAGCACACAGACCATTCTGTAGCAATTCCTCACATGTGAAAGAAAAAGTCTATTTGCGCTGATTAGCCTTGGGAGGGGGTGGTATGTGCTCCAGAGACTGGAGAATATTAGCATTAAAAAGTGACCTCATACTGCTGTGGTGCTTTTTTGGTCTTCAGAAGCACTACCTCTTCCTATCCTCTGCTCCTGGTGGCTTCTCAGCTGTTCTCATACTTGTCCCACCAGTGCAGCAGCTGCAGCACCGACAGCCATGCACAAGTCTCTTGCTTATACAACAAGAAAGACTGATACATTCTGCCTGGCTCCTTGCCCTCAGAGTCATCATATCCCAAAAATACTTGCAAGTACCTAGGAACACCAATGTCTTGTAGTAGGCTTCTGTGGGATCCTCTTCTTCCTTGCTTCAGAGGAAGATTGAGATGCTCAAGACACTTGGTGCCTGACAGGTTTGCAGGATCTAGGGCTACAAAACGTCTTCTCAGGCCAGGCCCTCGCTCCCTTTCTCTCCCTCCTTCCCTGAGCTCTCTGTCTGTGTCAGATCTTTCCTGAATATTTTCCTTCCTTCTGTGTCTGGCAGCTGGGGTGGACACATTGTTCTGTGATTGCATTATGATTTATGTTACATTTTCTGTTGAAATACTAGTGCTTCCAAGAGAGTCTGGAGTAACTCCTGTTATATTGCTAAACAGGAGAACAGGCCACTTTGAGCACTTCAAGTTTCCATTAGGACAACCACTCTTTAGTCCTTCCTCAGGCAGATGCCTCTGCCTCTGCACCAACCTTTTTGATGTCTCTTACCCCATGCAGTACACCAGCAATCACAGTGTGGGTAACGGCAGGTCTATCGGCAGGGAATATGGGTTTATTGCTCTGGATGCTGGGACCAAATCTGAGCGTTTGTGCGCTGATTGTAATAGCTCCCAAATGGCTACACAGTCAGCCTGGTCAGCTAAGTGCTTTTGTGGAATGGGATTTCATAGGAATCTGTAACCATTCTCAGCATAACCTGCAGATAGTAAGGGAGAAGACCAATTGTTAAAGCATTACATGTGATCATTTGAAACTGATCAATCACCAGGGATACTTAATTTTCCTGTATAAGAATTTAAAATAGGAAGAATTTGTATATATGTAAATGTTAATGTATATTTCCCTCTTCAGAATCCCCCCACAAAAAGGGCAAGATTTCTTAACATAGTATAGGCAGGTACATAGAATGGCTAATGGAGTAAATAATGGTCTATTACATCCATTAGAGCTGTCACCTCAAAGCTGTAGCAGCCAACCAAAGAAGGCTACAGCAAAATGCTTGATAATAAGACAACAGAGTGTAATTGATTCACTGCTCTTCTCTGGTGCTCTGTGTGCTGTGGGGATTAAACTCTCCATTTACTCTGTTGGAAGCAGCATTTTCCACACACTGCACTTAGGTCTTATGATTTTGTGAATATAGGACTTGCAAACTAGCCTTACAGTTCCTGACAGATTTTCAGTACCTCTGGAAGCATAAGGAAAGTTTAATGCTTTGTGAGGATGGATGTTTTCCATGTGGTGAGGTATTTTTATTAGAAGCTGCAAAGTCAAGCTCCAGGGAGAGAGTGGGAATTTACTTGCCTATGGCAAGGTAACATCTCTGAAAGAATCCATTCTGCTTCTTTATCCATGTTGCACCAAATACAATTTAGGTCTCTCCTTTCAGACCCAAGCCTGCCTGCTACTGTTCCCAGTGGAAAGCAAGTAGAAAACATATGCTGTGTGCACTCATTCTACCATTAGTCTCTCTACTGGCCTGTAAAAAAAATTGTGCTTCTGCTGATACTACTGGAATGTGATGTATTTAACTGTAGTTCCCCAAATTGCAAATGGACAGACCTTTATAGACCCTGCTTCCATATGGAATACTTTCAGCTAGAAAAGCTCTGGGAAATTGAACTTTTGCTGTTGGTAGTGAATACTATGTTTTAGACACCTTTCTCAGGAAGTTCTCTTGCTGTTTCCCTCTCTGTTCTGGCCCTGAAGAAGAGGAAAGTGTTTTCTTTGAATGATATCAGTGATTTTCATGCTACACTTGGACTTTGGGGTTGGTGGAAACCTTACCAGTTTGCCTCTAGGCAGAATAGTCAAGGTTGGAGGTGCTTATTCACACTCCCATGTTTCTGTTCCACTTTGGCTCCAGCTGTGTGGGGCTGCATAGTCTGAGACCCAACCTGCAGCCATCACCTACCACTGTCTGACACTTTGCAAAGTCAGAAACGTGGGGTATTAGTAAGAGCTCTGAGTTCTTCCAAAATGCTTTTCATCATCATAGTCAAAAGTCCACACAGAAGCAGAGAAATTATTGTCATCCCTGGTTTGAAAACAGAAACACAGATGAAAGGAGATGCTGGTTCTGCTAATGCCAGGGATGCCTCTCAGGGCAGTTGCTTTGGACTCTGCAGTTGTAATGTCCTTGCTACAGAAACTGGACTGTTCTGTTGAATCTCTGAAGGGAATAGGAAAGATGATTATAAAATGAAAGCAAGTCTGCCAGATACAAATAACTTGGTAATCAACGCTGATTAGAAAGGAACTACAGTGGAGACTGAGGTACATGATAATTTAATAGCTCATTAAAATATGTTATTAAAAAATTAAATTGCTGAAACTCCATTGGGGACTGATTTGATTGATCAAATATCTTTCTTTGAACATTTTAGTAAATATTGATACTTAGTGAGGTAAGTACTGTCTGACCACTGATTTTTACAGATAGCATGCAAGTGTAGGCTTTCATTTTTATGTTGCAAAAATTATGTCTGTTTTAATACTAATATAATTATTTTATAGGTAATTGAATTTAATATTTTCCAGGTTTAATTTAACCAATGGCAAAACAGTAAAAAGTGCCAACTTTAATTGTAAAAAATTAAGAACCTCTCAAGGCACCTTTTCTGTTGGTGTTTGTTATTTGCTTACCCACAGTCTTCCCATTCTTGCCCCACCTAAACAAAGACATCAGTAATGGTATTCCCCCATTTCTTCAGGGGTAGGGACTTCCCAGAATATGGGGAGAGTTTGTAGCTCAGCTCTGTGGTTCAGTAATTTGAAACCAGCATGCGTGTTGTGTAAAATGAAGTTCCAGGACATACCCTCTTTTACAACAGGTCTGTGAAACACATCAGGAAATTCTGTGCTCCTTCTCTGAGGAGAAGGGAACTCTAAGGCAGCAGCCTCTGTCTCTGCAGGCTGGGTATGCAGTGAAGCAGTGTGTTGTAGCTGTGGTACTCCAGTCTCTGGGGTTCAGGAAAGTGCCAGATCTGTGCAGGGAGAAAATATAGAA